TGCAAAAAACTTCCTTACAAACTACATTTGTGATTCGGTCCAATTAGTTGTATTCAGCTCATTTCAACCTAGCCACTCCATTTATTAAGAACACCCGTAAATGGAAAGCAGACTTTTAAATTTTGGACCCAGTCCATCTACTTTTGATCCAAAGAAGCCCATGTCAACCCAGCCACTCCACCAAACCCTAAATATATAACCCCTTATTTCGCTAAGGACTCGCCATTAGCCGCACATTTGTTTAGAGCAAGCGGTTAAATCGAAAACTCCTCTCTTCTTTGCATGCCTGATTTTTCATCTCATGCCGAAATTGACATCGGTTTTCCTGAATGAGTTGGCGTCCTTCGGCCTTATCTTTGTCGCCAGAGTATCTGCGTATTCCGGTTGAGGCCGGCCTTTGCAAACTATTTTCGTCATATGGCCGACTTTGTTTGCGGTATATTTATGAAGCACAGTTTCAGTTTTTCTTCTTAAAGTAATCTATAAGTCTCAGTTTTTTTTATAATATTGAAACATAACTTCTCTGATATAATATATCTAAGTAGATTCATCATTGTGTGTTACGAATCTTGCTTAATTTCAGATATGTCTTATTTTTTTTTATGGTCATGTGCTTAACGAATTTCAAAACAATGGTATGAATAATTTCAGATATGTTTTATGTCGTCCGTAATTAAAAATCTAATACGAAGTATCTACTCAAGCTTTAAAAATCTATTATCTACCCGAGCTTTCATATCAAAGTACTCTGTAATTAATTTTTATTTTATATTATATATATTATGTTATATATGAATCGTTTTCCATAGAAGCTTAAATCATAGCTCTATATGTTACTGATTTTGGTTTTAAAAACACCCATCGGCATATTGAATATATACACGTGCCTATTCTTCTTTTTTAAAATCTAATACGTAGCATATTAGATACTGTGCTATTTATTGAATAAATATTGTTTTTCAAATCTCTTTGATTACCACACATGTTTTAGTAAAGTACTCTGTTGCGGTGTGATACTAATAATAATAAGGTGATGCATCCGTGTGATTACAAAATCTGTTATTTATCACATACCAAGGAACAACTATTTTTGTTTTAGTCATCTATCAATCTCAATTTTATTAACAGATTCGCGATGATATAACAGATCAGTCTAGATCTATGACCAAGAGGTATGTTATTTTATAATTGTTAATTAATTGAAATTATTAAAATATTAGATACACCTATTACAATGTATAATGGGCTGGGTTTTAAAAATATTACTACGTATGTTTTTAAAACCACTCCGTTGTTATAATAGTTGTTACACAACATGCTTAGAATAATTGTGTTTATTTAACTGTTTTTGTTAAATAGATTATATTTAAATACTCAATTATATTTGACTGGTTTTAGTTTTAAAAACCCTCTTTAATAAAGTTTCGAATTTCAACAATAAAAACTGCATGCTTGGTTTTGTTTTAAAATTTATTTTGATTTTCAAACCAAAATAAATTTATCACAGTTTTACTCTAGTTTTGGTATTAATCTCTTGTCTCCCCCTAAGTTTATACACTGAGCTTATTGAACTATTTTTTAAAAAAGGTTGCCACCTCAAATAATAAACACCAATTGAACTGATTTGGTTTTTTATAACTAATAACTTATATGTCATTCTTCTTTTATGTGTTATCCACTATATATAATAATTAATCTACCATATGGAGTACTTCTTTGACTGAAGGTTTATAACTTATCTCCTCAGATCAGGACTTAAACATGAATTCTTTTGAGAGATGCTCTTATTAGACTACATATTTTGTTTCATAGTGAGTATGGCAAAGTTTGTCAATAAACATTGGTGAGTATATATACAGTCAATTTCAAATTTGCTTCTAAACCTTGACATCCTTCGTCTCCTAGCGTCCGTGTCCGCTTCTATATAGCTTAATTTCACATCTCGCCCATTTTCGTTTCGTCCCTGTCAACATACACTTATCTACATAGCTTATTATATTTGTTGTTTATCTAATACAAATTTCCCTTTTTAATTGAATATTGTTTCTTCTCTTGCATTGATTGATGTGTATGCAACCGAATTTTGCAGAGTGGTAAACGAAGGCAGAGATCTAAAAGATGCACAATCTCCGGACGATTATTCTCAAATCCGGTAGCATTTATACTATTACTCTTACAATTATTAATTCTTTGACGACTTTCTATTTTTTATTGTCAATTTTTGACAACTAATCCTCACACACACTGTACACAATATATCTGGTGAGGTACAATACGTTCTGGCCATCCTTCGTTTGCTAGGTCTCCCCATCAAAGTTTCACTCCCTCTTCCGTTTCATCTCTGTGAATACTAGAATCTCACCCGTGCATTGCGCGGGATATTAAAAAGTAATCATGTTAATGACTTGCATCGTTTTAACAACATTGGTCTTTGTTCTTTATATAGTGGGACAGTGGGTTAAAAACTGACCCAACGTTGTGCATTTTAAAAAGGTTAAAGGATCTTTAGCCTATAAATTATTGCATTTTAATGCCTAAATACAGAGTATATTTTAACATGTTATTCCCTTTTAATTGCAGGTCACATTTATCAAGGTTGACTATGTTTTTCCTTCATTTTAATATACTTTACAAAATATACAACAAAATTTGTAGGCCCCTGGACAGTAAATTTTAATTTTAAGTTAGTTTAGAACAGGAAATGCAGGTGTTTGCTCATCCAAAAAACTAGGTATGATTATCTTCACCTAAATTTATCATTATTTCATTCTCTTTTCACGTTAAATACTACCAAACTATAAAAATACTTCAAATAAATTGCTAAATATTTAATGTTTCAAATTTGCATATTTTGTACACAGTAACTCATTATATTGTTCCTTTTCAATTGCATACTCTTAATATATACAATTGAAATTATGAAAGTATGAAACTTGTGAAATTCCAAAATTAAAGCCCACTTGAAGTGTGAAGTGTACTTATAACAAGTGTGATAGCAGCTTAACCAATGGTAAAAATGATATAAGTGTTGCCTTCTTTGATTTGCTCCTTGAGTTCAGTGGCCCTTTGCCGCCAATATGTTATGTTACCCCTATGTAAATATAAATATTTATTTAGAATTTCATATTTATTGTTCGAAATATGTAGTTATATTGTTGTTTTAAGGTATTAAACAGTAATTATTAAAACAGTATTAAATAAAAATGTACCTCATCATCAGGGAAAATCCATACTCTAATTTGTCTGTAACTCTGTATGCTGGCATCTCATTAAAAAAGAGAGATGCTTCAGTGCCAAGTGTGTTCGATGTGGCTTCTAGATTTTAGATTTGATCTCCTGTTGGATTGTGTCGTTTGAATCTGAAATACTCGTTGGATTTTAACTCGTGGGTTAACGTGGAAAAAATTAACTGTCTTACTCGTTGGATTTGAAATACTCGTTGTAAGGCAGTTATTGTAGAGAATCTGAAATACTCGTTGGATTTTAGATTAATAATCGTTGGATTTTAGATACTCGTTGTAAGCAGTTATCTGAAATACTCGTTGTACAGATTACTCGTTGTAAGGCAGTTACCCGTGCCCCAAACCCGGTCGGCCCGAACCCGGTCGCCCCGAACCCGGTCGCCCCGAACCCGGTCGCCCCGAACCCGGTCGGCCCGAACCCGGCCGGCCCGAACCCGGTCTGCCCGAACCCGGCCGGCCCGAACCCGGTCTGCCCGAACCGGTCTGTCCGAACCGGTCGGCCCGAACCGGTCGGCCCGAACCCGGTCGGCCCGAACCCGGTCGGCCCGAACCCGGCCGGCCCGAACCCGGCCGGCCCGAACCCGGCCGGCCCGAACCCGGCCGGCCCGAACCCGGTCTGCCCGAACCCGGTCTGCCCGAACCCGGTCTGCCCGAACCCGGTCTGCCCGAACCCGGTCGGCCCGAACCCGGGCGGCCCGAACCCGGTCTGCCCGAACCCGGTCGGCCCGAACCGGTCGGCCCGAACCGGTCGGCCCGAACCGGTCGGCCCGAACCCGGTCGGCCCGAACCCGGTCGGCCCGAACCCGGTCGGCCCGAACCCGGTCTGCCCGAACCCGTCGGCCCGAACCGGTCGGCCCGAACCCGGTCGGCCCGAACCCGGTCGGCCCGAACCGGTCGGCCCGAACCCGGTCGGCCCGAACCCGGTCGGCCCGAACCCGGTCGGCCCGAACCCGGTCGGCCCGAACCCGGTCGGCCCGAACCGGTCGGCCCGAACCCGGTCCGCCCGAACCCGGTCCGCCCGAACCCGGTCCGCCCGAACCCGGTCGGGCCGAACCGGCCCGCCCGAACCGGCCCGCCCGAACCGGCCCGCCCGAACCGGCCCGCCCGAACCGGCCCGTGGCCCAGCCCGTGGCCCAGCCCGTGCCCCTAACCCGTGGCCCAACCCGCACCCCAACTCGTGCACGAAGCCTAGTGTATGTCCCAACTTACTTTTCTTGAAACATTTAATTTGTATAAGTTTTTTGTAAGTTTTCGTATAATTGCATTCAAGCTATGACTAAATGTTTACAAAAACTTAGTTGTATAATTTGTTTACAAAAAATTGGATACAATTTTACAAACTTATAACTTACATTTGTAAACTTGTACTTCATTTATAACTTACATATTAAAATGTAATATTAATATGTAAATTAATTAATTTGTTACAAACTTACTAGTTACAATTTATACATTTTGTAACATTTGTAAATTATAAATCAAATCACTTTTCTAAGTAAAAATAGTTTTACTTAATTAAAAAATTAAAAACATTTTCCAAGCGCAATATGTATAATTTTCTAAATCATATCACTTTCCTTACACTTTTCTAAATCAAATCATTTTCTAAGTAAATTATACACAATATGTATTATTTTTGAAAAAAAAATTTAAAACATTTTGAAGTGGGAGATTGCTCCCAAACGGCTATATAGCCGTTGGGGCTTAGGGTGGGGGGCAGGGGGGTCCCGAGGGTGGTGGGGTGGGGGTGGGGTTCAAAAAAATTTCTATAAATACATCTATTTTCTACCATTTTCTCCAACTCTTCTCCATCTTCATCTTCTCTTATTATCCTACATTTTTATTATACATCTACCATTTTAAAGATGAAAAGTAATTCTTCTGTTATGCAAAACAACTTTGATAAGTGGAAGGACCGGAAGACCGGTCTGTGGTGGACAACTTGCAAGTGGTGCAAGAAAGAGTGTTGCTTGGGGCGTTCACACGGAGTCGGGATGCCAATAAAACATATGAAATCATGTGACAAAAGTAAAACATCAGAATGAATTAAAAATAAAGGAGTAGTAGATTTATGCCACACTTCTTGAAAAGGTAATCGTTGTGATTTTCTTATTTCAAATAAATGCACTTGAATTTTGTTTTTAATAACAATTATTATAATAATATAATATATAATTTAAAAAAAAATTAAAAGGACCGGCCCGAACCGGACCCGGGGTTACACGGGCCGGTTCCGGGCCTCCCAAACCGTGAACCGAGGCCCGGCCGGTTCAAGGCCCGAATCGAGTCCATCCCTACCCGTGGCCCAACCCATGCCCCAACCCGCACCCCAACCCGCGCCCGAAGCCTAGTGTATGTCCCAACACACTTTTCTTGATACATTTAATTTGTATCAAGTTTTTTTGTAAGTTTTCGTATAATTGCATTCAAGCTATGACTAAAGGTTATTATTATATAGTTTTCGTAATCCATTCCCATCATAATTCACGTGAAATATAGTGTCATGATCATTTATTATGACTAAAGGTTATTACAATAATCACTCCACTCAAGAGATTACATTTTTAAAGCAACAATTACTCTAATTGTAAATATGTTGTAATTAGGTTCCGGGCCGCACCCGGTTCGGTCCTTGAACCGGCCCGAGTAATCCCGGGTCCGGTTCCGGTTCTGTATAATTTTTTTTTTTGGGTTTTCCTAATCAACCCCTACTCTCCCCCTCAACCCCAAACCACCTCAAATGACCCAAAATAACTAATCCAACTCTAAAACTTAAAAAAAAATTAAATCCGGCCTGGAACGGGCCCGAACCGGCCGGGCCGGTTCACCAAAATGAAGGTCCGGGCCTGGAACCGGTAGCCACCGGGCCGGGTCGACCCGAACCACCCATGGGCGGGCCGCCGGGCTGGACTCGGTTCCGGGTCGGGTCGACCCGAACCACCCACTTTTGAAAATGCTAAAAGTGGTCAAACTGCCATTTAGGGCTGAAACGCCGTTTACCAAACACCTCCAATGTGTTTGACATTTAGCGGTTAGTTGTTAGAAGATAACAAATTATGTTAGCGGGTTATCAATAGTGGATTCATTTGGCGGGTTTGTATAGCGAATAACTCGATGGGCTGTCATAGGATGTTTGATAATTTAACTATTCGCCATAACAATTGGTAGAGAATGAAAATATTTGAAAACGCTAATCCAAAATTCTCCAATGTGCGGCGCTTTCATTTCAACAGCTCCTTTAAAAAACGCTAGAGCCACATAGTTATTTCCAAACACCCCCAATATGTACTAGTACAAAGTATCTATCTTGGCTCACATAATCTACACCTGCACAAAAAAGGACATGTCCGCTCAACCTACCACGTACAAATAATATTATATTTGTGTTCGTAATATGTACTGATGTACAACCCACCCGCACAAATGGGTGAGCTTAGGCATGACTATTTACCCACTAGGTCAGGCCCGGTCCACCCCACAATATCACATGGGCAGGCGTACAATATATATGTACTACGGAGTAATTTTTTTATTTATTTACGCGTGTATATTTACAATTAGTAAGTTGTTTTTATATATAGGAATTTTGTCCAAGTAGGACTTGAACGATACATTCGTTATCAATAGGGGGTTAAAAGATAAATTAAAGTGTATCGATATAGAGCGAATGATCGAAAACTATCAATTGAAGACCTAAAACTCCATGAATTTTAATAATGTGTATTTTTAAAATTTATGTATGTATTATTTTATCTTATTAAACTAATAAAATTTTGTAAAGAAGAAATCATTTTGGAATTAACTATGGAATTAAAAAAAATTAAATAAAATATATGATATTTTAGGCCTTAGATAGATAGTTTCCGATCATTCAAGTTCTGCATCGATACACTTTATCTTTCAGGTCCCTTATTCATAGTGAAAATATCGACTTTGACATTAAATTTGTTCATGTGAAGCGATCAACAAATCGGGCAACTCGTGATTTGGCTAAGGCTGCAGGTTAGATCACTTATATGTCTGGCCACTATGTTTAGCATAATTCCTCTTGATTGTCTTGTTTCATCGTTGAACCACGAATTCATTAATATAAGCTGATTTGGTTATTGTAAGAACCCAAATAGTCCAACCAATATAATATCTACTTTTATACTTAAACATACTACTTTTTGCTTGCATTTTCAGTTTTAATTATAGTTTTCCATGACTATTTTTGTGTAAATATTTTTTGTGTATGTGGTGAGAGACCTATAAATATTATAAACATATAAAAGATTTTTAAAAAGTTCTGGTATTATTTTAAAAAAGTTTATATAATTTTGAAAAATTTAATGTTTTCCCGGGACGAACGGCCGACTGGACTACTCGGGCAGAAAGGTGATTTAAAAAAAAACTTTTGACAAAAGGTGAACCGTTTTCAAGAAGATTACTCTTTCGTTCATTCATAATGTTAAGACTCAAAGTGTGAGAAATACTTCAACACGCCTCACAATGTTTGAATTGTGACATCATGGAATGTTTGAATTGTGACAATGTTTGAATTGTGACTCAAAGTGTGAGAAATACTTCATCAGCTTGTCATAATCGTTGTCATTTTTGGGGAGGCTACATCATGGTTATGGATTAATCTTGCTCTGATACCATGTTAACAACCGGAAAAATATAATTAGTTCACATATATTTACTAGAAACATATCAATCTTTCTTTTGAGAATTATTGCACAACAAAAAATTAAATGTTTATCAAACGTTCTATAAATCCCAACTGATACCAATTTTTTGGATTTCATTTCAGAAAAACATTGACTTGCAATGCTTTGCATACCCAAAAAAAAAAGGAGCCTTGTGAGAAACAAAGAACTTGACTGCATGCTCGAACTCATATTTTGGTGTCTAGTTGTCCAAGAAACCAGAAATGTAAACATCTAAACTCGTTTAGCAGTCAAGTAAATGAGATAGTGATAAAGAATGTGAAAGAAAATATCATGACATTAGAGCCAAAATAAATATAAAAAAAATTATATTATGGCTATTAACTAACCCTGGCTGGTGGCGTTTGCTAGCCCGTACAATTGACCTTTCCACTATTTTTCCATAACATTCACACGTTACATCCCTATCCAAGTTCATGAAAAAAGGTAACGCAGATGAACAAGGTGACGCCACCGCAAGCGGCAATGCAGGAAAATCATATAAAGGTGATGGAGAGTCTGCTGGTGAGGAAGGAGACGGGGAAGAGGAACACGATGATGCTCTTTCACCAAGAAGATGGGTTGTTGATGAGCATGGGGGGCCTTCCGATTCCATACCCATTGACCCTAAGACAATGAGAATGAGGTCAATAGTGTATGTAACTACATACTTCCTGCACTATTGCAGGATAGTACTGAAGAAATTGATGCTCTTAAACGCGATTTCATTTTCACTTTTACTTTTAGCGTCAATGCTCTTTGCAGTTTCTTTTCTGTTTTTTTTTTTATCAAAAAAAGAAAGAAAAACAAGACACTTCTGCAATAGCATCTGATGCAATCATATGCATGGCTAGACTCAAAGAAGTCACTACACTCGTTAAGGCTGTAATCGACTTTAAGGAGGAAGTTGAATTCATCATCATCAAGAAGCCAAGAAGTATTGCTTGCTAGATTTTGTTGTGTTCTTTTGTATGCTATTCACATTCAGCAAGCCAACCCCAGCCGGGATGCTCTTGCCAGTTTTGAAAATTTAGACTTGAAGGTCAAAGATGTTCTTAGAGATCACTCCGGAAGAAGGTGAGTGTGGGAACTCCTGTATCTGACTAAGGATGTTCAAAGAAAGGTTGCATACCGTGAAAGCCTTTGACTAGCAGAGTTTTTTTTACTATGTTCTGATGCAAACATTTCTTTATACACCAACATTCTAAATGTCACTCTATTGTTCTCTATTTTTGCTAAATTCCTCTCTTTTCTCTTAGATATTCAGAATTGATCTCGAGGTAGATTCTTTTGGCCAGGTCTAGAGGAAATAATATGCTGGCAACGCACTTGCAAGGGGGAGCAGCGCCTTTCATTTCACCCTAAGAAGTATGATTTCAGAACCAATATATAAGTCTTTCATTATCGGGTACCCGAAAATCTAGAAATGCCCGCATATCCGCGCCATAGATGGACTAAAGTGATGCCTTCCCAAAGGCCTTTCCAAATCAAATACCCAACTAAGGGTATTGAAATAGAATAAATCACTAGCATCTTAAGATAATATCTTTGAAATTGCAAGCTTCAATTTTCCCATTTTCTATTTCATTGTTCAATTCTTGTAACGGAAGCAAAGGTTCAACTTTGCTAGCTTCTTCAGAATTTCCTGCAGTTCCTTTTGTTCGTTCCGTTTGTTCTAATGTTTTTTCACCCGATGCTCCAGGCTCCCCTTTCTCAATGTCAACTTCTGTGCTTTGTTGTTGTTGTGATGTATTGTCGTGTGCAGAAACAGACGCTCTGATTTCTTCATGTAAGACTCCATAACACCTATTTAAATTTTTGGATAAACTTTCCAGTTTGGTGATTAGCCAGTACGCCATCAAAAATGGCAATGTCATGCCAATAAAAAACGCACAAGTTAAACTACCCATCACCATCAAAACAGAAGTGAAGCTTTTATCTGAAATCAAGTATACAAAACCGGTGTGGGACAACTTAATATGTCCCCACACGATGGTGACTCATTGGAGAAAATCAATTTTGTAGCATGTGTGCTCGTTGTTGAGGCTTACCAAGATCTAATTGCTCGTTGATGCCTAGTTTGCTCTGATATCATATTAAGTCTTTGAGTCTATTCTAAAAAGCTCAACTTAATATGAGGAGTAACCTAAAGCTTTATACGTTTATTTATATTTTATTATGTTGGCTTGTTAGAGCACCCAATCTTGTGGTCTATGTACTCGTTGTTGAGGCTTTCAAGAATTTTGTGTTCCATATTAAAGGTCAATCTGATAGGAAAAGTAGCCCAAATATTTATATTATAATTTGTATTTTAATAAGTAATCAGTGTGAGACAATTTAATAACATATACACACAAAAGCACTACTATGCAATCAGCATTCACAAAACAAGTGAGTATCTCGCTTCTCTACGCTAGTGCGGTTGCACGAGAAAACAAGCCAGCGGGAATAAATAGTATGTTGGAAGGTCCACAATTGTTGAATATAATGGAGGTGTTATAAGTTGTCCAGCTTCTTCAGGGTCAACTTATCCTCAATTCCTCATTTGATCCAAATTTTATACTGAGTATGAGGTTATTTGAAAAATATTACTCAAATAAAACTCGTTACAAAATATGACTAATAGTTCCTATAATATAATGTTATGGTCACTACACTTAAGAGTAAAAGTCAAACATAAGTTATTATGACGATAATTGCTAATATATAGTTACTACACTTAAGAGGTCATATTTTTTGTAAATAATCTTTATATTAGTAATAAATACTCCATCCGCCTAAAAAAGATTGAAAAAGGAGAATCTGAAAGATAAATGTTCTTATCTCAATTTTGCAGATCTAAAAGATAAATGTTCAATTTAGAATCTGAAAAAGTGAAACAAAATTATTGATTGAAATAAAAAAGCAAAAGAAGATAAAAAACAGAGGACAAAGGAGAATGAAAAGTGTTAGAGATCAATGTTTCTTAGGACTTTGTATTTATTTATTTATTAATTAATTAATTAATTTATTTATTTATTTATTTATTTATTTATTTATTTATTTATTTATTTATTTATTTATTTATTTATTTATTTATTTATTTATTTATTTATTTATTTATTTATTTATTTATTTATTTATTTATTTATTTATTTATTTATTTATTTATTTATTTATTTATTTATTTATTTATTTATTTATTTATCTATCATAGAATAGGCCTAAAATGGAAAAGGCTACTAGGCTAAATTAGAAATGAGCCTCCTAAAAAGGAGAGCCCATATCATTATAAAAACTACCATTCTAAGGAGGCTATAAATAGACTCCTCAGGAGGCTATAAATAAACCTACCATTATAAAAGTTTTCATTTTTTTTTAAATTTGAATTTGCACTTAATTTGTATTTCATTTTTCCTTTAAGGTTTTTATATGACCTTTTTACTGGCCTAATTTATATACTTTATATTCCTTATATATTTATAGTAACTTACATGTTATGAAATTTCAGTTTTAAAATTGATATAACTTTTTTCATATTCTATAGTTTATATTTTACATTCTTTAATTCCACAAACTACCTAAAAAAGTTAATTAAAAATAAATTTACCCTTTTTTATTTAAGTAAAAATAAATTTTTATACTCTTTTTAATCCTTTTATATTTATGTATGGAATATTTAATTTAATTCTTTTGGGTCCAATACAAGTCGACATATGTAGTTGAGATTATTAAAAATTGATATTTCTTTTCTAATTGACTGAATAGGTAGTCATTCACATCTGACCATTATCGGCGAAAGGTCTCTAAAGCTGGGATTATTTTAAAATAATCGATAGTTAAGATTATTATGAACGGACCGCAAATAGTTGAGATTATTATTATTATCAATTTTTCCAAAAGAAAATAATGCATATTACATGAATTATATTTTTTATAGGGACCTAAAACAATATGTGTCATATTTGTATGGACTAAAAACGTATTTACACCATACTTATCTTATGTTTATCATCATTGTGTAGTAGTGCATACGGAGTATAACACCTCGTAGTACGAAGTATTAAATCCGCGTATTTAATTTTGCACTAGTTAATATTATCCGCTTAGGTATTTCAGGACCTCACAACTTTAAGGATGTTTTTACTTGGACTTTTTTTACTCTCAAACCAGACTTAAATATATCAAACCAGACTAGACTTGAATTTCTTAGTTATAAATTGCACAGCAGCACAGGGACTATATGTTTATCAAACCAATTCAAGCCAGACTAGACATAAACAGACCATATCAGACCAGTAAATTTCAATCCAAGTAAAAACATCTTAAAACGCACAACACACCCTCCCATCGCAAGCATCGTGCTGATAACGGATATTGGATGTTTTTACTTGGACTGTAATTTGGTGGTCTGGTCTGGTCTGTCTAACTCTGGTTTGGTTTGGTAAACGTTTGGTCTCTGTGTATTTTATAACTACGAAAGTCAAGTCAGTTCTGGTTTGTTTAAGTCTGTTCTGATCTGTTTAAGTTTGGTCTAGTTTGGGACTGAAAACAATTCAAGTAAAAATATTCTTGTCCGCTTTGGTACTTCACGAACTCACAACTTTAAAATATGTTCACAAGCAAAGATTTCAGGCTCTACTTATAAACACACACACTATCCTATGTGCGAACGAACGATGTGAGAACTTCAAATTGACAACAATCACAAGTATAGTATTTGATTGAATTGATTTATTATATATCATAGTTCGCGTTACGTACGTTATTGAAATACTATGTAGCAATGTGCAGTGGCGGAGCTAGTGTTGTTCAAGGGTGTTCATGTGAACATCTAAAAATTCCAATTGTTATTATCAAAACGTAGACGTTTTGTTAGATTGTAAAGCCGCGTTTCAGAAGCTCCAAACTCCGGAACTGGTCCGTCCCTCCGTTGCGTATCCAATTTGAGCTAAATGATTTATTCAGAATCAATAATGAGAGAATATTGGGATTTGGGAGATATGCTTTTTAGTGTCTTAGTGGTTTCTACACAAATTGAAAGCAAACACTTGACAATTTTGGTTCTCTCTTTGATGGATAAAGAATTGGAGGAGCTACACTGGTTGTGTGGTTTTTGTTTAAATCAGTGCTCTGGCTTTTATATGCTATCCACCGTTCTTTAATTTTTGCAACAATTTGACTTTTATGTTTGTCAATGCACAACTTTGACTGTAATTATATTTAATTATGTATTAGTAAACATTATAAAAAGTTGATATTTTGGAAATTCACATTGATACGAATTCAATAACATTTTGTACGTAATAATAGACCTATAATCTATATATGTCCTTGAAATCGACATTGAAAATCTATTTTCAGTTAAAAATAATAATCTAAATAGACTAGACATAATAAACCAGTTCAGGGGCGGAACTAGGGCACTGTGCAAGACTAGATGGGTGCAAAGATATTTTTGAAAAAACTTTTACACAAAATTGTTTACCTTAAAGATTAAAACATTTTTTAGATTTGGGTTGAGCCAGGGCCTACGTCCCCTAGATCCGCTCACGGACCAATGATGCACCTGACCCGAGCCATTCCTATACATGCGGCTGTGCCCCTGCTTTAGAAAACTTCTGGGTCCGCCACTGGTGAAAAGGGTCTAGGGTCCGAATTCCTTCTTGGTTATTTTTATGTTTTTGCTTTACTTGTGTCTTTTTAAGCTCTAAATTAATTTAAAATGGCTTTAAATAGCTATATTCAAATTTTGGTGATGCACCATTTAGCTCTCTAGTACATGGGCGTAGGAATCACAATTTTGGTATGGTAGCTTTCTCATCAAACCAACACATCATATTTAATTTCTTGTTTTTTG